CTCCCATAAGATCAACAATATACTCACTGTTCAGAAATTACATGGAATTAGCAACACATATTAGCATCTGCTTGAATCAGAAATTACATCATGTAACATTAAATGCAACTGAAAAACAATCAAGATAGTTATAGGAACCAAAAGGGACTACAAATTTATCCCCCTATCTACAAGATAAAACATACTAGATATGGCAATTTCCTAAAGTTCAGACCTTCCTGCAGTTATATCTGGATAAATAGTGCTTCCTATAGCAGCACCTCTTCACTCAGGCTAAACGGTGTCGTCTTTCTCACTCATTTGTTCTTATCCATGCTTTTTATTTGTCAGCTGCTCGCATCCAAAACTTCCTTCAAAAATATATTCTAAAAGCCACTTGAACCAAAAAGCTAGATACAGATCATTCTAACAGGCAGCTTCTCATGATAGTGCCAGATAGCTTAAATAAGTTAGAGTCTCCTAAAAGAAGTTCTATAGGATATTCAATTCGAAAGGAAATTCTACCAGAAAACACAAAACAGAACAGTGCACAACCTATGTGTCCATTAAATGGAGACAAAGCAAATTGACAAAATGTTACGATTAAGGATCAACCTGATATCAACTTTCACGAAAAGAGCCTGGCTGAGGAAACTAGGAACAATAAAGGGGCTTGCCACAAAACCTAACAAGATAGGAACAAGTTAGTGGGCGTGCAGTTTAAGCACATGAAACAAGAATAATTGAAAAACTCTTGAATTACAGAAAGGCCTACAAGAATGGGGAACAGAATAAAATCTGTCATAAGGAATTGCTTTCATTTTTGAGACATGGTAAAAAAAAAAGCAAAAACAAACAAAAAAAACCAAACGAGCACATTCCCAGAGACAAATAAAGCTGTCGAGAGGTGTCGTCTGGCATGCTGCTAGAAAAGGTTTCAAGAGGTTAAGTGGGAAATTCACAATGTGTTTCTTTGCACTCATTTGTCTTGACTTTTCAAGTGAGTCAAGTTCAAAATGGAAGACTTTTCATCCCACACACACACACACAAAAAAAAAAGACAAGTGAGTGTTTAGACTTAAGCAAGCTTCATACACATTATTGGTCCACAATCCAACCGCTTCAGGATTTAGATTAAGCAAATAGGTGAAAATATTTACCAAACATGAGAGATTATAACAGGTATTGAAGGGCTGAAATGACGAATTACTAGTAGATAAGGATGCTCAGATGAAGTCAGCCAACTTTCATGAAGATTGCAAGATAGGAACCCATTTAGCATTAGAGCAGAGCTTGCTGAGAATTTACCCCCAAATTAGCAGGCAACAGCACTAGACACAAACCAACAAGGAAAGTGGACTAACCTTGAACTCTTTCATCAAGTCATGGGTTCTATTGATCGCCTAGCTCATTCAGGCAATCAATCACTCCAATCTGACCACCAGTTTGACTTGCAAACAAATCGACAATTCTGAATTTCACCATCACTCAGGATGGATAGCCAGGTCCTATCCACTTTCTTATAAGGTCTAGCATTTCAAAAAACTTCATTAGGATAATCGAGCACTAACCTAATTGCTAGAAGTCTTCCTCAGCTGGGAAGACATCCAGAGTAATGGCTAAGGGTCATCCCCAAAGTGGAACTATCCAGTTTAGGGGCTGTTTGGTATACTGCGATTGTAAACGCAGTAAATGCATTCAACATTTGTCGCATGAAATTAACCTCAAATCTGACGTTTGGATATATTATAGGAAATGAAGTTTTGAATCCAATTCCAATGCTTGTTTATTGTAAAAGATCTATTTTCATTGCAAATTAATTATTTATATATTCAAAACAGTAAAAATATTAACATTTTCTGATTTTTTAACTAACTTGATAAGTGTGATATTAAGAAAAGAACTTGTAACATTTGTCATAGCCAAATTGGCTGCAGCAGATGCTACAATATTTTTCAACAAATTGTAAATCCAATTACATTTTTCAACTAAATTGTTGCTTACCAAATACTGAAAATAGAAATTTGGTTGCAATATTTGCTGTTGCAACTTTATTTCCTATCAACGAAACAACCCCTTAAATAAAAAAAACTATATAGACGAAGAGTGTTGTGGTGATGTTGGTGGGGTGGGTGGCTTTGTTGGGGACAGTGCGGGTGTTGCTCTGGTCGGGAGGAGGTAGAAAGGTGTTAAGGAGAATGCTGGAAATTCTCCAAGAGGCCATACACTTTTCTCCTGTAACACATCAGTCAATGCTGCTTTAAGCCATACATTTCTTTTTCCGTGCATATTTTGTTTTGTCAATTTATAATCATGAGTGTCTTTCTAGGCCTAGTCCATAGGTAACAAGACCTCAGACACAATGTTAGGTTTAGATTCAATCTCCAGAACTATTACTTTCTTGTCCTATGTTAGAAATAGGATCACAAGGAATTGTTAAGATCCATGGATTTGAAGCGTAGGCCAAAATTTCCTGATGAAATCTGTTTCTAGTCTAATCAATGGAAGAACTCTTCTCCTTTTTGTCTCCCTAGGTTTTCAGAAAATCAGGTTTCGCCTAGTCCATTTTTTATGCATCCCCAGTGTTCTTTCAGTTATTGGAAGATACAATTTGTGGTATTCGGCAAAGGTACTACCTATTTCATATGTTTACAATCATGATCTCCAAGAATAAAGCAAGAAAATAGAGAATTAAAGAAATCTCCAGAAGATAACAAGATTTTAGTTATCACTTACCATATATGCTTTCCATCATGAATCCTACAGAAGATAACTTTTCTAGTATCTACACAATTTAAATAGAAGTTTAAAGTAGAGATTATATCCACATATTCACTACTTTTATAGGTTATTGCATATTAGTATTACTTGATGATGAAGAGAAAGTGTACTTTTAAAGGCTAAATTCTCACCTGTTTTCTTCATATCTAAAAGGAAAAACATATAGACGGTGGAGATGGTTATGTAAAGTGGCGAAGCCAGGAATTTCGGCAAGGGGCGTCCAAGAAAAGGTTAAACTCTCACCTATGAGGGTAGAAGATATTCGACCTCTTTTAAGAAATTGTTCTATAATTAAGTCACTATGTTAGTTCCTTAAATCTTTCATATTTTAAAATTAGTCCATCAAATCATGGAAATTGCTATTAGATCCGTCAAATTTTGATTTATTTTTAGATTATTCCCTCCACTCAAGAATATAAATAGCGATCGGAGAGATCATTTGAAAAAACAAATTATGAGAATTGGAGCGCTAATAGTCCATAACAATAGATTTCACTTGTAATCCCTGCAATTGCTAGTTCTAGTCTTGACTGGAGGCTAATCTCAAAATAAGTTAAAAATTGAGTAACCTAATAGGAACATTAGAGGGCTAATTTCCAAAATAACCTAAGAATTGAGGGACCTAATAGCAGTTTCCATGATTTGAGGAACCAATTCCAAATATGAAAAATTAAAGGAACCAATATGGGGAAAAACCCTA